CGCTCGTAATCTCGTCCTCTTTATTTTAATGACAAGCTTGCATGATTCTTTGTCCATAAAGTGAGGTATAAATCCATTCTTCTTCAGGTCATGCCCGAGTTTCTTCTCCCTAATCGCCAATTGATCTCCGATTGACTTGAAACTTGCGCCTATGCTTCACTTTATGTGATAGGACCTGAAATGTGACAAAGGAACACAACCTAGAGTAAAATAGGCCAAAGACGCGATAATTAAAGCTCAAACGATCAAGAAACAAAGGGGAAAACATGTGCAAATATCGAGTCATCAAATCCCCCCACACTTAACCGTTTGCTTGTCCCCAAGCAAACCTAACTCAAACCAATGCAGCTCTCCAGACATCTATAGCAACATACAACCCCGATCGTCGGTAGAGGATTTCATAGATCATATAGCAGTTTACGAGGTCAACTGGTCTTCTAAGACGTTCCCTATCTCTCTCAATGCGAGTACTAGACTCAAGCCGGGATCATGAGAAGAAGTAGAAGTAAGACAGTCAGTTCATGGATAAAGGGACACACACCATTCACAACCAAGGACTCGTTGTACCGGGGTGCTCTTTCACTTCATTTCACCGTTGGAACCCCTTTTTCATTTTCATTTCACTTTTTTTTTCTTTTTCATTCACTTGGCGGGGGTTCCAACTGCAGTCTTTTGCACGGTCGACCCTTATTAGTCGAGCAAGAGCAATTTCTGTACATCTGGCGCTCGCCAGAGTACTTCTTTTAACTCCTTTTCCTCAACTCGTGTGGAGGGTCAATGAAATTAAGGGGGGTCGGAAGCTCTATCCGTGCCCTTAAAAACACATCCTCAAGTAGGCAAACCGTTGAACGGGTGGAAGTTTTACTTGTACTAAAGACAGCTTAGCTTCACCTTGTAGGAGTACCCCACTAAGGATCACTAAAATCTCTTCCAAAACCCGATTTTGTGCAATGAACGGTGCCGCACACGTTGGGCTTACCCTATGTTTAAGATTTAACGATTTTGACATGGAGGACCAACTGCATTTCATTTTTCACATGAGCACCCTGTTCGATACACGAGTCCATAACACAATCCAAATAGAGTCACCATTATCACATGAATTCAACGGTCCTAGCTCCACTAATTCACAAAATCAACTGGCATAGCAGAGAGATAGCTAGGAAAAATCTTATACTTCAACATCCTCCATAGTGCTACACTACCTCCCTAGGTTGCACATTACTATAGAGACGGTCAATTCAAAGCATATTGAGCAGGCAATTTGCAAGGAAACACGTACTTGGAGCCCTCAAATTTAAAAATTTGGACAGTGGACTAGGCTCCAAGCACACAAACAGCCCAACATTCACCCGCATACATAATCGAACATCCCCCCACACTTAAGCACGACATTGTCCTCGGTGGAGGAAAGATAAGGAGGGTAGAACGAAGTTACCAGATCAAGGGTGAATGATGGTGGACGAGGCAGGCAGTGCATTCTAGGAGGAGAGAGTAGTCGGAACACAAACACCACACAAAATCTCACAAAGGTGGAGTTATTGACTCTAAAATCAAATAACAAAACTGACTCAACCGAGGTTAAATAAAGAAATAAATGCAAACCGACTGGTTGGGTTGCCTCCCAACAAGCGCTTCTTTTACGTCGTGAGTTGGACGATAGCTCCTAAGTTTCGGTCCACCCCAAAACCGCCTTGAAGTTGAGGTTCTTGTCAATGAGGTGGAGTCTCAAGTCACGAGCATGTGGTATGACAGGTGATGGAAGCTCGTGCACTTGATGCAGATAACGTCTCCACCCTCGAGACCTCTTCTTCTCTTCTCTCGTCTCATTGCCCCAAACAAGATATGATAACATCGATTGACCACCATCGCGTCCACCAAGAGGGACCGATGTCGATTTGGCCTTGGTCTGGAAAAGAGACACTGCAAATGGGTCCTTGCTAAGCAATTATTCGAAGTTTGGTGGAGATATCACATGTAACTCATGGCCGGTGCAAGCCTCTTCCACCTCAACTCCGTCCTCGACCTAGATGCCAATTGCTTCGTCAACCTCCCTTTCTTCTTCATGTGGTATCACCCTTGGGAAATGATCAAGAACTCCTTCTGCTTCACTTTCGTCATCCTCCACAACTTCTTTCTGCACCCTTTCTTGCTCTTCTTCTTCTAGCACGGATTGGAGAGCAAGTTGCCAAGCAATTTCTTTCATGAGGTCTTCTTGCATCTCCTCACTCATGCCCGCTTCTTCAAAGCTCAGTTTGGGATGTGGGAAGATGTGGTCGGCTACGACAAGACATTCCTGATCATGATCATCACGGGAGCTCTCCGTGACAACTTCAGTGTGCTCCACAATGTCTCTGTAGCCTTCTTCTTCCTCCTCCTCTTCTAGTATGGTAGCAGACGAGTGATCTTGAGCAAGTTGTGCACAAACTTGCTCAACCCGCTCTGGTCGCTTTGATGAGTGCGAAACAGTCTCCTCCGATTCACGGAGGGATGAAGAGTTAGGAGGAGCAAAAGATGAGAAAAGGAGGTCCATCTTACAATTGCGTCTCTCGGAGTCCCGAGCAAACTGCTCCACGAGAAGCCTCAATTGATAGTTTGGATCTGGCTGTGGAGTGTAGCATGGCTCTGCAGAATGGCCTGTGAAGGCCGCCATGGGTAACTCCAGCGCCGATGGCCCTTCTGGTTGTGGGAGAAATTCTTCTTGATAATGAGGTTGTTCTTGATATGCCAGGGGTCTGATTGTTCTCTGTAGTAAGGGGGTTGGTAATGGAATCCGAATCCATAGTCTTCTCCTCCTTGATTGCTCCAGGGGGTCTCGGGGTAATACCACTTGGATGGTGGTGGATACCCCCCACTGGTTGGAGAAGCCGTGAGGATCCATGATTCGGATCTGCACCAACAAAAACAAAAACACCCAAGTGAAAAGCAAGGGTGGAAAAGAAAATAAAAATGCTAAAGTAACAAACTTCTGCCTTTCCTAATAATCTAGAAAGTCCCCGGCAACGACGCCAAAAACATGACACGCTATGACACAACACCTAACAATGACCAAGTGTAACCAATAAAAGGGACTGCAGTATAGTGGCTCAAGTAATAAATATCGAATCTACGGGTCTCTAGAGTTACTATTACTCAGCTTCAGTTCATTATCTAGCAAACCAGATTAAGATGGAAGAACTAAAACTACTCTAACAAACTACAGTTAAAGTTAATCTAATTACAGGTTGGGAACTCACTTGGGTATGATTCCCCCTAGCCACTAGCCAGATTAATGATTGATGATCTCTAATATGTTTCACTTTCATTCACAATGCGGAGAATCCTTGACTAGATCTTGAGTCTCGAGTAAAGGAACAAGGCCCTCTTGAGTCAATTGCCTAGAGGGACGTATCCTTCTCTAGAACAACCGATCAAGGCGTTCTGAACTAGACTCCCTCTATCGAAAGAGGTTCTCAATCTATACAAAGAAGTGAATCAACCCTCGACTAAAGCAATCGATCCAATACTATCAATCTATGATGCTCTATTAACCTAATCAAGTATTCGCTCTCATAGGATCAAAGCAGAATCAATAATCTCGACTAAAGCAGAATTGAATCATGAAAAAGTGCATAGATAGAATTTGAACTCAAGATTATCAAGTAAGAGTACTCAAACAATCATCCAATCAAACAAACATAGCTAGGGTTCCTCAAAACCTAAGTGAAGGGAAGTTACTCCATAGAGAAGAGAGAGACTACAGTAAGAATCTTCAGATGATCAGTCTTCAAGTCCGGGCTTGTTCCTCGAGCTTCCAAGGTGAAGAAATCCTCCAATTCCACTCTTAGAATGCCCTCAAATCGCCCTCTCTCTCTTTGGTTCGTCCCTTGGGTGTTTGGGATCCAAAACCCAGCTCCCGCTTTCCTTTGGCATCTATCTGCCTAAAAAACCCGATTCATGGCAAAACATGGTCGAGGACACGGCCGTGTTTTACTTTTGCCCGCCCGTGTTTTGCCCCCAGCAGCCCTCGTCGGCCAAAACACGGTCGTGCCTAAATATGGACACGACCGTGTTTTTCTTTAGGCGCCCCCGTTTTTTTACTGCCAAACATGTTCCCCTATATTCAATGCTTCGTTTCTCCCTTGTCCGGACTCTGAATCGGTCGCTGTTTGATCCCAGACGCTCGTAATCTCGTCCTCTTTCTTTTCATGACAAGCTTGCATGATTCTTTGTCCATAAAGTGATGTAGAAATCCATTCTTCTTTAGGTCATGCCCGAGTTTCTTCTCCCTAATCGCCAATTAATCTCTAATTGACTTGAAACTTGCGCCTATGCTTTACTTTATGTTCTAGGACCTGAAATGTGACAAAGGTACACAACCTAGTGTAAAATAGGCCAACGACGCGATAATTAAAGCTCAAACGATCAAGAAACAAAGGGAAAAACATGTGCAAATATCGAGTCATCATATATCTCATGCATCGGCTTAATTGCAAGTTTGGTCACTCGAATTGCAAAAAAATTTCACGTTTGGTTACTAAAATTGGTTTATTCCATTAGTAGTCACTTAAATTAGTTGAACAGTCCAAGTTCGGTCACTCTCCGTTAACTTCCGTTAGACTCTGTTAATGGCGACCGTTAATTGATGACGTAGCTAACAGAAAATCAGAGTCAGCATGTTTTAACCCTAAAAAATAACTACCCGACCCGCCACGTAAGATTTGCCCACCATATCACCCTTCCCTACCCAACCCGCAAACCAACCCAATAATCGACCCAACCCCAAACCCGACCCCCCTGAATCTGAAAAGTAAAATCGACTTCCTTCTTTCTTCCCCTCCTCCTCCTCTTCCTCCTCCTCCTCCTCCTCCTCCTCCAAACCCTCCCCTCCTCATCAAATGCCCACCTCCTTCCTCAACCATTCACCGAAGCCCCCAAAATCGGCGGCCGCCACCCGGCCATCGCTGGAGTCAAAACCTATCTCCGCCGCTATGGATTCGCAGATGGGTTTGTCGTTGTGCATAAGTACATGGATTTTCTTGTGTACAGGGTTTGATTTGAGGAGGAGCTTTCACTTGGATCCGAATGCTTCTGGAGGAACTCGTACTCGACGGCTTTGACGTTGAGCGCGATTCTAGGCCTCATTACAAAAGGGCTCACCTAGGCGCCGATTAGTTTCACATCTCCGCGTGCTGCTTCGGTATCACCAGCCGGTTCAGCTTCCCGACATCGCTCGGCGTCACCACTTGTCGAACATGTGCTCCTTCTCTATCGGCATCGCCGTCGAAGACGGTTCGGCTCTGCGGTGGAGATCGGGATCCGCATTGCTCGAGCTCTCGAGGGACAGGTCCACGAAGTCAAGCCGCTGGTCGTTGAAATTGAAGGCCACGGAGGACGGGGCGGCGGCGGCGTGGTGGTGGTGTTGAGGGAGGAAGTTTCGGTACTAGATAGCCGAAGGAGATGCAACAACAGAAGAAGAAGAAGATTGAGAGGAGGGATCGTTGTAACTGGAAGGGAAATGGAGATTGGGGGTTGGATTGCGGAAGCAACACCATAGTCGTCGTCTTCTTCTTCTTCTTCTTCTTCTTCAGATTCAGGGGGTCGGGTTTGTGGTTGGGTCGATTATTGGGTTGGTGTGCGGGTTGGGTAGGGAAGGGTGACATGGCGGGCAAATCTGACGTGGCGGGTCGGGTAGTCATTTTTTAGGGTTAAAATATGCTGACTGTGATTTTCTGTTAGCCACTTCATCACTTAACGGTCGTCATTAACGGAGTCTAATGGAGGTTAACGGAGAGTGACCGAACTTGGACTGTTCAACTAATTTAAGTGACTACTAATGGAATAAACCAATTTTAGTGACCAAACGTGAAATTTTGTAGCAATTCGAGTGACCAAACTTGTAATTAAGACCTCATGCATCCTTCACGCTGCCTGTTGGTTAATCTGGAAGGAAAGAAACCGCCACATTTTTCAAGAAGTTTCCTGTCCTTCGGTGGTTGTCGCCAGGAAAATTGCGGGTACTGTGGTTGAATGGCTTGTTGTGAAGGAAAATGTAAACAGGGAGCTAGGCTCCCTTTGGCTTTCTGTGTGCAGGCCCTGATCCCTTGTTTGTTTTGGTTCCTTTGTACCCTGCTGGTTCCGCTCCTTTGTTTTGTATGCTTCCCATTTTTTGTGTTTCGCGGCTCGCAGAGATGGCCTGGTCCATCGAGCAGCTTGTAGTGTTGGTCGGATCATGCCTCATGATCCCTCTACCGTGTTCTGTTTCCTACACTGTACTTTTTATTTTCAGACCTTCTTTTTCGTTATTAATATACTCACCATTATAAAAAAAATAGTAAAGTTAACAATATTTAATACATAAAATACGGATAATAAATGTGTTATACGGATTTTATATGTGTTTAGTACGGGAGTCATCAAATGAACGAATAAAAATGAAACATCTTGACAATAATACAGATACATAAATTTTAAACAAATAAAATACGTACGAATGTATATACGTTTATTAAACCAAGTATTTACTAACTACTGTAGTTCTCTTATAATTTGAAAGTCGGCCAAAAACTAAAGTTGATCGAAATTCAAGGATTGTTCGTTCCTACCAATCAACTTAAGGAGAACCAAGAGAGCACCGAGCACACCGAAACATAACGAAAAGAAAAGTTATAACCCGACCAAAAAGAATAGATCGACGAGAGAGAGAGAGAGAGAGAGGGAGAGAGTAATTATGATGGAAGTGTCTAATCAAATGTCCAAAAAAGGATAGGAAAGAGGGACAGAGGGCGAGGGAACACGTCCAAATGACTAGAGAACGAGTTCGTTAATCATGTACAGATGCCGGATCAGTAGTCTACTGCTCTAGCCATGGACATGCATCAATGGTTTTTGTAATGTGATATGAGAGAAACGAGGTGAAGCAGAGCAAAAGGCCACCTTCAACCGGGAATCTCCCCTGCCTCCTTCCACCAACGTATAACAGCACCTGTCCTGTCCTGCACTGCATGAGCGGCTGAGCCCACACCGCACATGAACATACAGAACCAAAAACCATACACGAACCAACACACGCACGGTCTTCTATAGTAGCCATATGAAGCTACTATGTGTCTTTCTCTTCTTGGTGGAGTCATGACTTGACCAATATGTCATTTATGAAAAAAAATGTTTATTTAATTAGGAGGACTCATTTATCATTCTAACTTCTTATAAGATAATTTTTTTTATCCATGTAATTAACCAACGACATGATCAATGTTCTTGCAGAAGTGGATCAATTTGTATATGCATGCTTGTCTAGTTTAACCATGGATTAGTTTGACTAATGAGCATCGCCTTGTAACAATTCTGGGCACTAAGAGAAATTAGTTATTGAGTTGATATTGTAGCCAATGGTCATTGACGCGGAAGGATACGTATGCTACGTTCTAATATTAGAAGGGCATGAATGTGCAAAAATTAATAGAGGGTACATTTGTTAACTTGCAATAGTAGAATGATACATTGCAATAGTAGAGGATATAAAATGCTGTAAACCCTAATAAATAAAAGGTTCGTATGAATTTAAAGTCCACTAAATTCTCATCTAACACGAGATTGGATGGAACGATGGATATAAAACCCCAATCAACAAACAAACAAGAGATTGGTCAAGTGTTAATACGTACCACTAATCTTGAACGTTGAGGTTTCAAGTTCAAATCTCTTTAGTAGTACGTAGCTAACCTATATCATCCTTATAAAAAAAAAATAAACCCAATCAACGAACTAATAGTTTAGAATAAACTTCATATAAATTTAGCATAAAAGTCAACTTGGTGACGCAAATGATTGTAATCATGGTGATTGTTGACCAAATTCCATAGAAAAAGCCTCCAATCAGCACGGCCACGCAGCTAGCTAGCGAACCGGCCACCAGTCACTCCGCCGTGGCTTCTATCTTTCCCCGGCCCGTTGATCGGTCGACCATCAGTCTTAGCTTCCATAATAATAATAAAGAGCTCCCGGCCGGCCGGGCACCAAGAAAAACATCGGACGAAGGAAGATGCTATATCGGAAGGAAGGCTTCATACCCTACGTACAGCTAGGGTGGTAAAAAAGTAAGATTGTTGTAATTAAAGAAAAGAAAGAAGGGAAAAATTAAAGGTGCATGCAGATGCAGATGCAGATGCAGATGCAGTGCAGGGATGGATGGATCGGACTGATCGATGGCCGACTTATACGTAATTAACCCAGCAAGGAAACTTGAAGATACAAAGTGTTGCCTCCCCTTTATTTCCTCCTTTGGCAATTCAGCAACCGTCCCATCACAACCCCACACACCAAAGAGAAAAAAAAACACTTTTCCTCCTCCATTTTTCTGGTTTTTTTTTGTTTTTGGGTTTTAGGGTTGGAAGCAAAGAGAGGAGTGCTATGCTAGCGATTGATTGAAGCTTCTTCTGTGTGTGTGTGTATATGTTTGTTGCTGTGCGACTAGTTACTGAGGTGGGGCGTGGTGATGGCGACTGGTGAATGGGAGGTGAAGTCGTAATCAGGTTTCCTAACTTAGCATTGCACCCACAAAAGATGGGCCTCCTTCCACAGCCACAGCTACCCCCTCCCTTCACTATCTTTTCATGCCACAGGAAAAAAAAAAAAATGTTAACGAGGTGTACGTTCTGGACAAGTGAGGTTTAGGGTTCTTCTATCAAGCTAGAGTTAGGTCAATCTAGCAATTCTAATTTGATCCGCAGCAGATCATGATTTCAAAATGAGTCTATACATTGTTATAAAATAAAAAATAATCGTGGAGAATCTTTTTCTCAAATAATCACTAGGTGGTTGATTGCAAGGATGGGTGTGAATATCATGGAACGTCCATATCCTTCTCATCTCAGATGCGCATGCCGTCCATTACTATGTGCTCGTCTATCCTATAGTTATGAACGAAATCATAATTAAAAAAATGCATGTGAGAGGTTATGATCTCCAACTCTCGAAAATCTTACAACTTGATCTATATAAGATGTAAAAAAAGATGGCTATTCTCTTTGGTTTGTTGGTAAACGAATTTTTTTTTTGTTTGTATCCATTTATATAATCTAACTTGATAAAATATTAGTTCAGTCCATCCACTTTAATATTGTAACCTTTATCATGTGTCAATTGAACTCCCTATTATATGAATGCATAATATTTGATGTAACTTTGATAAAATATGAGTTCAGTCTCTGCACTTCAATATGTTTGATTGTTTTAACTCAAGTTACTTCAAGTGAGTCTATCTAACTCCTATTACATAAAATTTTGAGTTCCAATGAAAAATTCGAGAAAGAATAGACATTCTCGTAATTTGTATCCAAGAGTCAATTCGAAAATGACAAATTGGATTCGAAAATTGCGAAACATAATTAAAAAAAAATTGATTCCTTTTTTCAATTGAATAAGTACGAGTAACGAATGTATGAATAAAAAAAAATCGGGCCACATATTACTTTTAGAATAAAGCCTCCAAAATTGATTGAAAGGCCCTATTCAGCGATGAAAAGAAGAGAAGAGAGAAAAGGAATCGATGTTATGGCCATATCTACTCCAACAGATAAACGAAGTCACAAATGCCCCATTGCGCTAACAATTGCATGTGACATTAAATGGAGCACAAGGCAAACAATAGCAGGTTTAGGATTATGGAGCAATATTCAATGATGAATGTGAGATGGGGAGTCGACGGGAAAAAAGAAAAAAAGAAAAAGAAACACCAGAATGAAACCCTAGCCAGTACGTAATAAGAAGGGGGCAAAAGAGTATAATTATCAAAATGATGAATCAATGGTAAATAAATTAAGAGGGGAGAGCAAAGCAAATCAATTCAATTGAATTTCATGGAGATGGCTGGCTATATAGCTCTTCCTTCGGGAACAGAGAAAGAGAGGGTTATTAACAAGTTTGTGAAGAAGACTTTTTATGGGCATATGGCGTTAAAACCTCACTTTTCCATCGTGATATATATTTCGTTGATTGAATCTATTCAAAGACTTTTTTTTCTTTTTCTTGAAGTCTTGCTTTGGACCATCTATCTATGTTATTGCTTTCATTTCTTCAGTTTACAACTGGAGTTTTTTTCTTCTTCTTCTTCTTCTTCTTGTTGACGAAATGTTCATTGGTAGCTAGCTACCTATGATCGATGATGGTGAGGAGGCATTCCCAGTTTTGTAATATGATTTTGTGTAAATGTAATATGAAAAGATCAGTAGTCAAGTGAAAATAAATGTCATATAAGTAGTCAACATGCATGCCCTAAGAAGATATACGTATATGTGTGCATATTACATGATAAGTGCAGATATAGCAATATATGTAGATAATCTTATTGACTGTGACTCTGTGAGATCAGTTAGGTAACATACATAGCAAATTCGAAAGGAAAGAAAAAAACAAGAAATAAGTTTTTTTTGGTGGATTTGTAATTGCTATTATTGCAATTGATGCATTGTACAAATGATTGGTTTCCGATACAAAATCTTTGCTTGTAAAATCCTGCAAAACCTTGTCGTATCATCGTATCATGACATGGTTATAACGATGATAACGCCACCGAGTTTTGCAGGTTAAGATTTTGTACCCTATCCGCTCACTTATATAATTGGACTGTAGTTTTAGGACTAAAAAAAGAAAAGTTTGCTTTTGAAAGTAAAACTAATATTTACTCTTCCTTTTTTTTTTTTTTAATGCAACACTTGTGAATAGTTTATGTCTTCATCTTCTTCAATTCACCACAGAAGTGTCAAACAAAATCTTAATTTGATTAATTAATCATGAAATTTAGGGGGGGAAAGAACCCATTCCTTAACGATAATAACAACAACAAATTGTCAAACACAGAGTTTGTTTTGGTAAGAGGAATAAAATTTAGGATGAAGAAAATTGCACAGACACACAAATACATATACCAGATCCATAGAAGAAAGAGATCATTTATTGTCTAATCTATAAAAAGGCAGTAGTGGCTGCCATAGCTAGCACAAGCAACATCACTTCCCCACACATACACACCTCTCCCCATTTTCCTCACAAACTCAAACCCTAACCAGCTACCTAACCCCTTCACCCAACTTCTTCTTTCGTTCTTTCTTCTTCTTCTTGATCATCACCACCATGAACCTGGAGGAGAAAGTGACAATGGACCTGATCCCGCCTTCGGAGCAGCTCTGCTACGTCCGCTGCAACTTCTGCAACACTGTCCTAGCGGTACTATACACAGCTTTCTGACCTAGCTATGGTTCAAAATAGAGTGTTTATTAATCGATCAATGAATGAATGGATGACTAGGTTGGGATACCGTACAAGAGGCTGCTGGACACGGTGACGGTGAAGTGCGGTCACTGCAGCAACCTCTCCTTCCTCAGCACCCGTCCTCCCCTCCAGGGCCAGTGCCTCAACGACCACTCCCACCTCCACCTCTCCCTCCAGGATAAGGCCGGACCCGGATCAGCCTTCTGCAGCACTGACTTCAACCTCAAGAAGGGACCGTCCTCCTCCTCTTCCTCCTCCTCCGCTGAGCCGCTCTCTCCCAAGGCTCCCTTCGTTGTCAAACGTACGCGTGCTTTCACTCTCTTGATCACTACTCCGCGCGATGTTACATACCCTTTTTTTTTCCGTTCAAGTTTAACCCTAATATATATATATATATATATATTCTTCTTCCAACATCGCGCAGCGCCGGAGAAGAAGCACCGCCTCCCCTCCGCTTACAATCGATTCATGAGGTAGGTGATGAATACAAACAAATATCTTCTTCTTCTTCTTTTCTTTTTTCGTAATAAAAATTTCCCATTGGGATTATGCATATAATGATGGGAGTGCAGGGAGGAGATTCAGCGGATCAAGACTGCAAACCCAGAGATACCGCACCGGGAGGCCTTTAGTGCTGCTGCCAAAAACGTAAACATTCTTTCACTCTATATTTTACATGCTACAATAAAAAAGTAACTATGTTTTTTTTTTCTTTTCTGGGTTTTCTAACTGTGGCGTTGTGGCCATGGTGTGTATTTTGCGAACAGTGGGCAAGGTACATTCCAACTTCAACGGCTGCTGCCGGCTCATCAGTCTCTGGGAGCACCACCACCACTGTAAGTAGAGTACATGTACATTATTATGTGACAATGCAAAAACATTCGAAAATGAAACATAATAAAAAAAAAAATATATATAGAGAGAGAGATTCTGATATGGTGGGAGCTGTTCAGGGCTTGCATTTTGCAGGAATGAGGTGAAGGGAGCGGGATCGATCGATGAACTACTGTTGGACGTTGTATCAGGAAAGTGATTGACTAGCCTTGCTTAACCATGGCTTAATCAATCTTCAATTTCTGTGTGGAAGGAACAGCTATAGCCAAGCTCCTACTTCTGCTGAGGCATCGGAGAGTAACAGTAGTATCAATATGTATGTGCTGCTTTCTAGTTTTCGTTTTAGTTTCTTCGCTGCTTATTGATTAGATTAAGAATGTAATGTTTTTCTTTTGATGGGAACTCAATGAATGTTGTTATCTTTCCTGGAACTAGCTAGCTACTCATTATGTTGCTCCACATGCCATGTTCTTTTTGTATATACATAATTGTTGTTAAAGGGTGTACTTCTCAACATAAAAGGTAACAAGATGGATTCACCTTAAACCCTACCATTCAATATGCATGACTCCGTTACCTCTGAACCAAGATTGAAAAAGAGCGTAATTCAAAATCAGTCCAAACAATGATGATTGATTATCGTTCCATAACAAACTCGATGCTAACGTGGGAACTTGAAGCTAACATGGCCCGCTATGTTAGAATATAGAAGGAAATGCACAACAATGGACTAAACGAAAGCACACAATAGCTAGAGAGAATGGAATTTCGACCTAAACGAGGTTAAACAGGAGAAGACAATTAATCTACGTGAGTAATCTTTGATCATCAATAGATCATGAAATACTCATCTCAAAGAGGGAAAAACCTTGCGAGCCAAACACTACAAGGAAGGAAATGAGACTAGCCTAAGGATTTTCTTTCAGCAGGTTTGCTAAATATTGTTGGGTTTTGCTAACTTTGACTTACATATCGATTCTTTCAACGGTTCTAATCCTCATTCTCTCTTATTTCCGTAATAATGGGACTTGTTATGGAGATATGAATTTATGACGCCCCCCTTTCTGTTGTGAGGCAACCCATATCTCTATATATATCAAACTCCTTAAGCAAAATACCCCAACAGATGATCCATGGCTTTGAATCTTCGTTCAACACAAATGATAAAGTGCTTAGTGATATTTGAAGACCACCATCTGCGACAGCATTAGGAGCGAATTTGTAACAACAACAACAAAAAAAAAAAAAAAAAAAAATTATAGCCATAATCTCCTTTTACATTGTGTTGTAGTTATGTTTAGCATGATCATTACGATTCTTACTAGAATACAATATGGAATGAAATCCCTTCTTTGTTCTAACTTGGGTTTCAAAGAAAATTTCACAGATGGAACGAGTTCATTGTGATCTACAAACTAATTTTAATATATTTCGACAAATATTTTTTCATACAAGACGTTACCACCTTGGTACCACCCAGTATCACCTTCATTTTTTAACTCGAATTTTGATTTTTTATTTGCATAGATGGAACAAAGTCTTCTTGATCTATTGGATCTAACAAATTTTGAGAAAAATATACAGGACTATAACGTGTGACTCAGTACCACCCTGATATAGGGGTGGTAACTAGTGGTAAACAATGATGAATATGGTAAGTGACAGTTCATATATTCCTATTATCATGTATTTCAACTATCATACACTCTAATATGTTCATACCATCATGGTACACATTCGTACCAAGCAGTAGCACTATGATATAGACTAGTACTAAATATATCAATCTTTTGTTCTAAAATTATATCAAACTGGATATTGTTTTGAAGAGCACAACTTATCTGATTTATGTGTTCAAATTTTTTAAATTACGATTTAAAACGAAAGAGTAATATCCCGTTAAAATTCATAGAGGAATGGCTAGGGGTCTTTCATATATGGTGATGTGGTGCTTATGTGGCCGGTTATGAAGGTGATATTGGCCATAAGATTATGCAAATGATCTACTCCTGGATTTCTGATATACGTTATTTGTATTTTTACCTACATTCCAATTTTTTTGCTAATAATTTTTGTAGACATTCTTCCATTTTTATATGCTTTAAGAGATTTGTAGTAGGTGTTTGAGAAATTTTCATTTTCTGCCATAAACGAAAAGCAAAGGTTGAGAAAACAAATTACATGTGAATAAATGTAAAAAAAAAACATAATATTTCTTGTTTGGTTTCTGGTATGTGTTGAGAACTTTTCATAATCGGCACATCGAATTAGTACTCTTTCACATCTTTAATCCTTGTGCAATGTTACGGGGCTGCTATGAAAAATACGGCACCGGCGATGCTCTATTTGATTGGTCCATGTGGATGTGATGTGGCACAGGCCGATCCAAATTGGATGGTCTGTAAGAACTAGCCCAAATGGCCGCACCTCAAAGTAACGGAAAAGCTTCTCATTCCTTTGCATTCTTCTATTTTTTATTGATTCAATTAAACCTCCATTCTCAAAACCCAAATTTGTATCAAAAGGAGTTGATCAAAGCGTTGCCCAAAGACTGTCTCCTCCTCCATCCTCTACTTCACTTCCCCACAGGACGCCTAAGGTATCCGTCGAGTTCCAATCTGCTATCGGGGAAAACTTTTTCTCCTATCTGATTATATATTACTGCCGCATTCTAGCTGATTCCGTTCCCGTCCTCCAAATCTTCTCCGAGATGGAGCTATATCGAAAGATCTGTGACTCTAAATAGCTTCCCATTTTTTCTTTCCTCCATTTTCCTTGGCAAGCTTCTCAACATCAACGCTATCTTGCGGAACATAGAGTAGATCAGGTGCTGGAGACCTGACTGCTGAACCAGATCCTCCGCCTCAACATGACTAAACATGTAGCTACCCAGATAATCAACCGCCAATGTACGACTGTAGCAACTGATGACCCCTCGATCTCCAACCCTCGTCCAAAGCGCATAGGCAGCGTGGCAACGGAAGCTCCTAATGAGGCTAGGATCCGTAGGTCCACCAAGACACTCACCAACAAGCTCCCACGGTGGAGGACCACTCGAACGTCCTCCCCTACTCCGTCCAGTCCCTGAGCTCGCTGTCTCCTCGCGAGCAGGTGGTACGAATCGCCCAGCTTGGTCCCTATACATAGCAGGACGTGATGTTGCCGTACAAGACGGCACTCGTCCATGTCCACGCGTAGGTGGAGGGACCTCGATATCCTCATCATTATCGTCCTCATCAAACTCAGTCGAGACCACTCTCGATGCAGCACCCTGGTTCCTCCCATGGGAACCAGACGCCCGTGATGCCGAACGAGCAACTACAGTAGGTGCCTCTAACTCATCCTCCCCTAAATTTGCATATGACTGATGTCCAATATCTCGAGAGCGCTTCTTCTCTTTATTCTTCTTAGGCACCTTCCTTCGTGTTGATGCATCAACCACCCTACCATTGAATCTATACAACTCACTCCCACCCGCATCATCCATATCTAATTATCTGCAAATTTACACAATATCATACTTAGATGCGCACAAATTAATTAATTTTCTATTAACTAATGTACTGAATATTAACATTAATTGTTAAATCAATTTTTAATTAATTAATTTTCTATTAACTAATCTAAGTAATTAAACATTCATACACCTATTACAAAAAAAACATTTATATACCAACTTAAATAAATATTAACACTAATTGCTAATTTCTATTAACTAATTAAGTAATTTTTTATTGACTAATTAATTAACATATTAAATTAAATACAAAAATCGTCGGGCCGAAAATTTTTTTGCTGCCGGCGCGTCGCCGGGCTGAAAAAAGTTTGCGGCCGGTGCGACGCAGGACCAAAAAAGTTTGCGGTCGGTGCGCCGCCGGGCCGAAAAACTTTTGAGGCCGGTGCGCCGCTGGGCCGAAAAAATTTTGGCCGGCGTGTTCGGCGTCCGGCCGAAAATTTTTTGCGGCCGAGGCGCCGCCGGACCGAAAGAATTTTTCGGTTAGGCATCGCACCGGACGCAAATTATTTTCGGCTCGGCGGCGTTCGGGCCGCTATTTTTTTTCGGGCCGCTGTGTTTTTCGCCGGAAAACTGGAAAACTTGCCGGAAAAAGTAAACTTACTTGTTTTCCGACGATTGAGGGCGACGGAGGCACAGGGCTCGTCAACAGAAGTTTTTGTTGGAATGAGTCAAATGTTAATGGTATCCGAATTTATAGAATGAAAGGAAGGGAAGGAAGGGAAAATTCAAAATTTGAATTCAATTTTTTTTCTAGTTGGCGGCAAATAGCCGTTCACATACTTAATAATCGCGACCCTGCAGATATATCATATATATCAATGTACTTGGTTCAATAACTGTATCATTGAATGCTGTGAATATCTTTGGCACTGAAGATAAATTGGCCAGGCACAAAGTGTGAAAATATTATACAAGACACTCTAAATAGAATTTGATCGATGAAGACCAAGGTTAAATGATATAGTATCTCCATCAAAATTTAATCCATTTGATCGGGAAAAGTTAATATGTTAACTTGAAGATTCGTTACCAGATAGTAACTGATATCCAAAATACATGAACTAGTATCCAAGTACTAAAGTATTTAGAGAGCACAGACTAGTATTCAAAGTTTGTTAACTGATATCCACCATGAATCAACTATTATCCCAAATTCACAAACTAATATCTAGACAACACATAATTAGTATCCAGATAACACATAAGAGTATCCATATTGAATACTAGTTAGTTGATTGTGGATATTAGTTAGTATTTTCTATCTCGATACTAGTTTGTGATGTTTTGAATACTAGTATGTGCTATCTAGACACTCAGCAGATTTGGATATTAGTTCAAAATTCATACATTTTAGATATTAGTTAGTATATACGAACGAATTTTCGAGTTAGCAGAATAACTAAGCTGTATTTGATAATTTCAAGGAGGTACATTGGAATTGGATGCATCCATACTCCATTGTATTGGCCAAAAATCTCTACCTCAGCATGGCACCGGACTTTCCAGCCCAAATGCGATATGGATTCTGGAGTTCACTAATCCATGTGGCCTCAATAGAAGACAGGCCCACGCTGGTTCCATGTACTTTGGCCCAAGCAGATGGTTAATTTATAACAAATTGGAAGTGTGTTTTATAAGGATGATAATTAGAGGCTTTATAACAAATTGGAATATGAGACCACCGAAGCATTAGATCAAGTACTTCTCCACTCTCCAGTTTGTTTGATTTGTGCATGTACCTGGGTATCGGCCCGAATACGAGCACAAAATATATGGGTCATCCCAACACGAATGCATATAATTTATTTTTTAAATAAAAATTCATACTAAAACATCAAATACAATACTTATTATTTTAAAGAGAATTGGCCCTCTTATTTTTATTTTATCTCTAGTATGTACCTGCCAACTTTACTAGTTGAATCCTACAACTATATAGAACAAATAGATCTGTTGTTGATTAGGAAGATTGTTCATCATCCCATAAGACCAAGACCAGCCTTTTTTATTAATCTTTTGGTTCTGTCCCTCTCACTTTTAAAATATGACCTTCTGTTTTGGCCAATGGCGGGACAATATTTTTGTCCCTTTTGGCTTTGGGGATTGGTTAAACATCAATCTTGTATTTCGCCCCACACTAATATTCTAGTTCTCCAAATTCAAAAAATAAAAATCTGTAGGTGGTGGAGGGGAAAAAACCCATTATATCAACGTCTGATTTGATTTGTATCATATATGATATACGTACGTCCTTCGATAATTTACTAAAATTCTTTTTAGTAAGCACAAAATGTTAACTTTAGCAACCAGAAACTGGTCCCGAATGTTGGAAACATGAAAGTAATAATAGTTATATGCATCAAATTGCATGGATGAGATCACCCTAAGCAAATCAAACTAATATGGTCCCCATATAGTTACCAGTCAATTTGAGTTGGTTTAGTAGACATTAAAAGTGACACAACTAGCTAGTCTATAGTATATATGTACAAAACATCTCTCTCCCCACAAAATAGTGTGGCCCCAAAATCTCCTTTTGTCTCAAAACAAATGTCAACAGCGCTAGACAAGGACCTGGAAAATCATAAGAAGGTCATTATAATGATGCTTAATTATATGTTTATAAGCAAAGAGATTAAGAAAGATGATGAGGATTAGTAGTGGCGGCAGCAGCTATCAAGTGTCAATTAGCATGCGTCATTAGTGACATGTGAAGGAGGATTGGAAAATGGTCCCCAAAACATGGGCACAAATGGCCATGCAACAAAAGGGTTTATTTATATTTTCCTTACTGTTTTTGTCTCATATCAAGATGACTTTTGGAGGTCGACCATCGTTGCGGTGTTCCAACATGATCACATTTAACTCGACTTTCTTACAAGAACTCTTCCATTTTATAAAAAAATGTTGATTTCTTACTTATCAATCATGGATTTCTCCCTTGCTTTTGTCGATGTGGGATTCGCCTAAGGTGTGACATACACCCTACTCTTGAAACTCAACGAGGAGAGGTTTGCCTCACCATCGTTCAAGAGAGAGACGGAAATGCTCTGATACCACCTATAACATCCCGGACTTTTTCTCGATATGAGATATTGTCCGACCTTAACCCTCACAATTTTGGCATTAGGATGCATATCAAGATGACTTCTCATAGAGTTACTCACAGTGCTTGTGTGTGGGTGTGGCTTCAATTAGAAAGGGGCTGACAAGCTTTCTCAGGAGCTTGGCATTTGGTTCAATTATGCACTCATTCATTTCATATCATTCCTGGAACCTTGGGAAGTTTTGTTTATTATGGTGGTGGAAATGCATGCCAAACACTCTTTATACAGAAAGCAATCAAGCAAAACAATCAAAGGGAGCCTGCTGCTGCTTCATCAAAGATTCTATACAAGAAAAGTAGTAGCTTTACAAACATAGACAATGCTCTCTCTCTCTCTCTCTCACTCCCTTCTTTTCTTTGAAAACTCAAAGCTTGTCCCTTCCAAACTCGCCCCTTCGATGACTGAAAGGCTCAGGCATGAAAAAGGAACCAATGAACTAGGAACATGGTTCTCAAAGTACAGCTTGAAAAAGAGAATCAAATTTCAAGAGTATCTTACAGCGACAACACCACCACAATCTGGCTTCTTTTTTCCCATGTACATTGCCAAATGATAACAACTGGAGGCTCTACAGTGTTTTCATTCATTCGAACGAGGAATCGAGTCGACAGTGTGCCTAACTGTCAACTATTGCTTCGATCCTGCACAACCGATGTGAAACATAAGTTTACAGACAAAAAGAGCAACAAAAGAAGAAGCAATTCTTCTTTAGTAATTTCATCTACACTGCTGGTTTTTGAAAGGGTGCTTCTGCAATACCTGGACCGATCTTCTTTTTTCATACTCTTAGACCATCAGTTGTGAAGAAACCAAACAAATCCTCATTCTCGTTCTTCATTTGTACGATGGTCCTCTGTTGTTCCACACGTTGAAGGTGTGATGACAGCTGAAGCAAGTCCACTGTATGTTCGTTATCAGGAGAGCCACGGTTCTTGGAATTCGAAACAGCTGGTTTCACACGAAGCTCGGTAGCAGCATGATCAGTAGTGACTTGGATGACAGAGTTCATTCGAGGCGAGCAGCACTTACATTTACCACACATACCTAAACTCTGGTACGAGTGACTCGACCCACTAGAGGATATGCCCTTAGGGTATTGTGCTTCGTCTGACAGAAGAGAGAGAGCACGGCTAGATTGGGATGATAGCCCAGCTAGCTCGTGTGTGAAAGATGAGACTGAGTAAACTGGTTGACTTGCCAGCCATTGGTCATTAGTCACTGGAAACGCTGATTGAGGATTCAAACTTGGCTTTTCCTCAAACGAAGAAACATGGCTGTACCAGTTAGCTTCTGGAAAGTGAGGACCACGTGGGAGCATATCTGGGAAAAGGAATGAGGTTCTCTTTGGCAGAGGAGTGTCGAGAAATATACTGCCTGCAAAAATCCATAACACCATTAGTGTGTGGAGGTGGAAAATGGCTCAACATCCATGGAAACTATCTTTCAGAAGAAGCTTCAAGGCAAGGAAATGATGAACACCAGCAAATTGAGTGTGCAACCACCCAAGTTGTAAGGACTCATTTGGATGGCTTTAATTGGTGATTGATTATGGCAATAAAGAGACATGAAAACACTAGCATGAGTAGATTTGGAAATACCACCCTGGCTAGATGATCTTTTGAAATCTCTTCACTAGGGGTAAATAAATTACAATAATTTAACTAAATAAGTCAAAAATGAAAGTAAACTGAGTGAGAGAGATAACAAAGAAATCTAGAAGTAATATTACCACGGGTAATTTGGTTTTGATCGCAACTTCTGCAATCTATTACCGAACCAACTTGATGATAACAAATCAATCAAACAACAGATTTTCACAATCTACCACTATCGATCCTATTTTAAAATCTATCAGCGTCGAAAGCTATTGATTCTTAACAATCTATCCTTTCAATAACATGCCTTAAATGACTTTAAAGTGGGACAAGAGTCCACATAATGATAACATCCATCCTTAATCTACTCCTTATAATAATACCTTGATATCGGTGCAGTGATTTGTAGGCATTGCTGGACAAGCCACTGAACTGAGGCTTCCTTCTCCTTTCATTGTGGCCTGCTAGGCGTTTTCGACAGCTACGCTTGCCATTATCAAATTCACAAAGCAAATGGAACCTAAATTGATCAAAATACAAAGGGTTTAGAACAGGCTATGTAATAATTTTAAGAGTGAATGATTTTTCTTGTTCTTTCGTTTCCTTTTATTAATAAAAGTCTCAGTCAAAAAAAAAAAAAAAAAAATTAGAGCGTATGAAACGAGGAATTCATATGACAAGTAAACCAACCTGCTGCACTGCTGGCAAAACCTCTGTTCAATCCCATTAACAATGACCTTAGGAGTCTTAGTGTGGACCTCACACACTTTATGCCTCTTGTGGTAATCCTTCAAGGAGCTAAGGTCCTTATTACAACCATAGACCTGACAGTATGGAATCACGATTCGAGCTCTCTTCACCGGAGTAGCATGTTCCACAGAATGTAGCAGTACTCTCTTATGGCAAAACTCACTGTTCTGTGCACCCATGCAGTCAGCCAAACTCCCTAGCTTCAAATTGTTAAGTGATGATGAGCCTTGACTGCTGGATTCTACAGGGAAACTAGAATGGTTCGATCCAGACTCCAATGAGGAATTCGTAGCTACCAAGATGTGCGAATTAAAACCCAAATCACTACTACCAAATATCCCTAAAACAGGGTTGTTGTCATTGCCATAAGAACAAGGACTTTTTAACACATCCTGGAAACCCAAATCAACAAAGTCCAGGCTATCAATTGATTCCCTGTCCCATTCTCCCATCTCTGTTCGACTTCTCGAGAACATGTCAACAGGGAAATCTACCTCATCAGTGAAGAAATGGGTTCTTCCATCTGAAGCATAACTCCAAGACTCCATCGTTTTACTACAGAGCAGAAGCTGGACAACTTGTGAGATCCCAGTGCCTAATAGGTTTCCAGAAAGGATAAGAAAACCATAGTCATTTGCAATTGCGAACTAATAAATAATGTCAGGTGAAGTTTAATTTTATTTTGGGAAAGTAAGAAGTTGAAAACCAACAACTAGAACATAATATTCCCAGCTACTGTAATTCGATATTGAAGTAAGTGGCCAAATCAACAGTAATTGCTATCAAGTTCCGAGACCGCTCCCTGGAATAAATTATTTGCATAGTTGAATTGCAGTGATAGCGACACTGAAAGAATAACCCAACAAAAGAAGGGAAGGAAAAGGAACACATAGAAAAATGGCAATATCGACTTTGATTAATGATGATGACAGACACAAAACAACTAATTAATTGAACAATACCTAACTCTCTTCATTCAAAATTCGATCAACTCACGGTAAGAAGAATACAGCCGCTGGAAACCGGTAATTCCCTTATTTACATTTATTTTCCCCTCCAATTTTCCCAGCAACCATACAGCAAGGAGTCTACTGAAATACCCACAGAAACAGAAACAGAGATAACAGCTCTCCGCAGCTTAAACTCAAGAAATAATCAAACTTTAAAACATTCGGCTAGTGATCATTAACTCGGGCTGGTTGAGAATTACAGAACAGGTAATTGGGATTTGGGATGTGCCCAGATTCTAACAAGCATCGGAGTTTTTCGGGAAACAGACGGCACCGTTGAACGGTAAAAATCCAGGAAATAGGTAACTAAAGCAAAATTAATGATCAGAGCTTTTCGTTTTCGCGCTTACCAGAAAAATGGCGATTTTCGAATGACAAGAAGTAAGGAATCAAGGAAGGAATGGAAGGTAGTAGACGTAGTATATGCAGTGGGAGTCGGCTTGATTTCCACAACTCACTCGGTCATCTCTTTCTCTGCCTCTGCCTCTCTCCAACAAAAAGGCATTTCAAGAACACTTCCTTTTGTAGCTTTTGAGATAGCTTGTGAAATCCCACTGCTGCCATCACCAATTTTGCTTTATTTTCTTTGCTGCCCCTGACCAAGTTTCTTTAGTTTACATTTTTCTCAAGATAATGCATGTATTTATTTATGAGTTAAAATTAGTATGCTCTAAATCTAATTATACAACTAGTTAATTGAAAACCTTGGTTTAGAATGGTTGTGTTTTTATATGGTTTCTACTGGGTTCGGCAAAATAGATCGAGACCATTGAAAAAGGTAGACCATACCGAACTGTTAAGAATAATCTGATTTGGTTCATGGTCTGTATTATATGATATTCTAATCTCTTGATCTGGTCAGGTCTAGAACATGATTTATGTTGATGTGACTTGAATTGGACTATCAGCCGCTACGACTGGTAATCGGGGGTCTCGCTGTTATTTGGGTTCGGGTCTCGGTGCCCGATCAATGTTATTTGGGTTCGGGTTCTGGGCCTGGTCTGTAACCGTTTCCTTTGCCAGATTGGATTAGGTTTAGACCCACATGGAGAAGTACTATAAATACTTCTCATACTCCTCTGTAATCTGTAATCTCCTTGATATAGTGAAACTGACTCTCTCTCGCTCGTGGACGTAGCTAACACACATCGTGTTAGTGAACCACGTAAATCGTGTGTCTGCGTTTTTCGATTCTCGCTTTCGTTTTCTTGCTTTGTCGATTCCAGCGATTTCCCGATCCGTAGCACCGCGTTTATAACAATTTAACATACCAAACCGTGGACCCAACAGACTTTCTAATACGTGTTAGCAGCCCACTCGACCACTCTCCCAACTCCCTCAATGAGACCCAAGTCTCAACCCTAATTTTGAGAATCTCGTCTCCTTTTTCATTCACAACTACGTTTCATCAGAAAGTAGAGACGATCGTGTCTCCATATGACATTGTTGTGCAAGGGTAGAATTAAGATGCTTTGACTTTGTATATTTGTTATTTACTTAGATTTAGAGTGTCAAAATTATTCATGCATGTTGGAATTCATATTTAAGAAAAAAAATATTTTTTTCACGGTTATTGTTTCAATTTTTCGTGTGTTGACTAAACAAATTGTTCATTTTTTGTTTATAGTAATCTATCTGGACCAGACCGCACATGCGGGGTCTAGTCTAGACCGCACAGGCGTGATGTGGTCTAGATCGTAATAGTATGTGGTCTATACTCCAGACTCTCGGTCTGGACCATAAACAGTATATATGATTTGGTCTGAACCAGAACACACCATTTTCCAGTCCTAGTTTCGAGCGGTTCTTAGTTAACAAAAAGTTAGAGGAAGTAAGTGAGTTATTCACCCAAAAAGATAAAAATGAAAGAGTAAATGACACTTGATAAATTGATCAGAAAAAGACACTAGATAAAATTATACATATTTTTGGCTATTTTTTATATGAACGGATGGTATTCTATTATCATTAAAAACCAATGTACTATGATGCAACACCCCTTGTCACTAAGGGGAAGGAACCAAAAGATGAACAATGCACTATAATCTAACTATTGCTATGTGTAATATGCTAAGAATAGGAGCCTGAGAGACTAACTAAACTAATAGAAACACAACAACTTCCATAAGCACATATAATAGCCACTTCATCTTTAATCTGCTTACAAGCAATATCCAGGCTTGTCACTGTTCCACCAACCCCTTGTTGAGCATCTAGATCTTCAAATATTATTGATCATCATGGATTGCCAGTTAAATATTCCAACTCTAGAATGAGAGGCAACAGTCGAAAAAGAGTCCATAGCCCATTTAAGTTCAGCAGACCATAAATCTGAAGGGTACATCCTTTAAAACTTAAAGAACAAGGCAGTGAAAAGTGATTTATACCTATCACATTCTGCAAACAATTGATTATGAATTTCAATTCTGCAGTGACAGTAAACACAAAATGTAAGCCCTTTAAAATCCCAGCCTATCATTTTGTCACAAGTAGTTGTGTACTCTGTAATGATCAGCCAACTTTGGAACTGATTCCTTGGGATGTAGGGTGTTTTCCATATCAGTTTGAACCAAGGAACAATAGTAGCTTGAGGCCTTAGTTCCTCCCAGACCAGCTTAGTAGAGAATTGTTTTTGAGTATATTACCATTACAGCACCCTTGACCTTCATGCACTGCCAATTTATGCTGAGCTAGACTTCTAGTTTTGAGCATTTTCTGCCACAACCATGAACCAGACTTACAAGTAGAAGTCCAAACATCTTCACCATGAAGTCTATACTCCCATATCCAAGCTACCCATAAAGACCCATGTTTAGTTAGTAGATCCCATATGTGTCTTACAATGCAAGCTAGGTTCCAGCTCTTCAAATCTCTAACTCCCAAGCCCCCTTCCATTTTAGGAAAATATATCTTATCCCAGGCAGCCAACTTTTTTCCTTGTAATCTTTTGGCAATTTTTTCAATAAGAGGTCGACAAGCTTTAATAGATAGCTTTCCAGGAATTAGAGGAATACTTATGTACCTGACAGGGAGAGAACCAAGCTGATAACCAGTCCTGGGTGCCATACTTTCCCGCCACTCTTGAGGAAGACCACAACAATAAAGCTCACATTTTGCAGGGTTTGAAACAAGACCATACAAGGTTCTAAACTGAGCTAGGACATTCTGTATGCAATGAATCCCATAATTAGTCCCATAAGAAAAGAGTAGTAAGTCATCAGCAAACATTAAATGGGTTTGACCAACACGTTTGCACATGAGATGGAATGACATTATCTTTTCACACACTGCAGCCTTCATAAGACCACTAAAAACTTCCATAGCAACTGCAAAAAGGTAAGGGGAAAGAGGATCCCCTTGCCTCAACCCTTTCTTTGCTGAGAAATACCCTACTAACCCCCCCCCCCCACCCCAATTGAAACCAACACTAATCTTGGGAGTAGTAACACACATTGAGATCCAACGAATAAAATCCATGGGAATATTCATAGCTTCAAGCACAGTGATAAGAAATTTTCAATCAACCGAATCAAAGGCTTTCATTAAGTCCACCTTAACCACACACCTAGGAGACATATGTTTTCTGCCATATTTTTTAACCATTTCATGAGCCAACAATATGTTCTCTCCAATTATTCTACCTTTGACAAAAGTTGTCTGGTTCTCACTGATTATATGAGGTAGACATTCACTAAGCCTAGAAGAAAGTATCTTAGCTATACATTTGTAAAGAATGTTACAACAAGAAATTGGTCTGAAGTTTTTCATTTCTTCAGGGTTCATAGTCTTAGGAAGCGGGGCATCAAGAGTGGAATTTACCTCAATAGGAAACACAAAATGCTGGAAACAATGCTGAATAGTAGCAATGACCTCAACCCCAACTATACTCCAAGTAGCATTGAAATTATGTTTGGCTATTTGGGTACTTATTTTTGTCAATTTTTTCTCGTGTGCAGTGAAAAAAAGTTGTTGATAATTAGGTAGTCGTATTAACTACAAAGCACTAAAAATGGATAGCATAATATATCCTAAGTAAAATTCACATTTTGAAGATGGATGCTAAAGCATCCTAGATTTCATTACTAATAACTCGTCGTTGGGCAATATCCATAACATCATGAAGAAGTCAATGAACAAGTCCCGGCTCACACAAATCAAAATGATGTGTGCCAAAATTCACAATATGGCATTTGCTAACAAAATAGTCGGCCATAAATTGCATTTCCTATACACATGGAAGATTTGGACTCTCAAATTACTATTACAAAGAAGCCTAAATTGCTTGGCTACCAGACCATGTATGTGGTTCTCGTCTTCGCAGTTTCTCATGATTGAGATGGCGCTTGTGGAGTCAACTTTGAGCTGGATATTCCTATGTCCCCCTTCCAAGCTAACTTCATCCCTTCCACTGCTCCTTTGATTTTGGCCGCTGTGACTGAGCATCTTCCCATGTTGCATACATAAGTATAAGTGCATCTTCCTATGTGGTCTCTTAACAACCCCCTATTGTTGCTCCCCCTGAGGGCAACAGTACAAACCCATATGATTGAATCGGTACCCAGTCCCCAGGGGGTGGCTCCCAAGCCAACTCATTTTCCACATGTTCTATATTGATACGAGCAAAGCAATTCTTTCATCTTCAGGTAAATTCTCGAGGAGAAAATCTTCAAGGATAATGCCACTATCAACCAACGGGTGTCTCCAAAAGCTTATTGTAGTCCCATCTATGATGCTCCAACTGGCTCCACTCTTCATAATTAGGAGTAGCGCTCTTATGATTGCTTTTCATAAGTTGGAGTGGGTTCTTTTCTTCGTGGAATCAATTCTCCCATCCTTGGTTTTGAAATACTTCCCTTGGAGCACCTAAACTCAAAGATCAGAGTCATTATAAGAAGTTGGAATCCAAACTGGATCATATAAGCAGTGTTGAGACTCCTAACAGATCTAAGCCACAAATCCCCCAGGTCTTTGGGCTTACAAATGATCTCCCAAGACATCAGGTGGATCTTCCTCTTCCCCTCCTTAGACCAACTTCAATGCTAGTCCCCAAATTTGGGGATCTTCCTTTTTTCTAGTTTTTCTTTACTTAAAAATGTACTTATAATTATTTTAATATATTTTTTATGTTAATTTTTTATACTTCGTCATTATTTTTAAATAAAAATTTTCCGATATAATTTTGTTAAATTTTGAGAACGAACTTTTTTTCGCAAAAAAAAAAAATAGATTAACCTAATTTGAGTTTACACACAACACTTGAAAATGATAAACATACTTTTAAATATTTTGAAGAGATCAATACAAAAATTAGTAAACAATTAAACAAAATATCATCTTAAAATAGCCATTAAAGCCCTAATTAGAATCCTAATTAATTCACTAATTAATCTCCTAATTAAACCCTAAAAAATAGAGGCGCTCTCCCGCACGTGCGGCGTATCGCCAGGGGTGGCGGCTGTCCCTGCCACCGCCACCACCACTTCCACTCCCCAAATTTGCAGGAATTGGCAAACTCTTCCCCAATTATAGCGAAGCAGCTACCGATTCTCTCCAAAAAAGCCGACCCTCGCCATCCCCCCCCCCCTCGGCATTGGAGCTGCCCATTCGCCAATTTTGTCGACAACCCCAAAATTGGAGACTCCATTGGAGTCAGTCTTAGTACCCCAAACAAGGTCATAGATATTTCTTTCAATAGTCTCACACA